GGGAGAGAGACGAGTGGTGGCAGAGGAGGGTAAAATCTCGCGGCCGGTGTCGCGTCTTCGACCGCTCATTACTCCACGTCGAACGATGTTTCCGTAATCGGAACTTAGCTGGAACCGGTGGCTCGTGGCAAAACTGTATTGTTCGTTCGAGGCAAACCGTTTCCCATTAATTAATCGGGTGTGCCAGGTCCACGCAGTTGATTTGCATCCGATCCGCGAGCACGATACATCCGGATTGTCAGCGATCCATCGCTCTACCATTAATGTCTAAATACAATCGTCGGTTTCTCCCGTCGACGAACCATTGAATTCTAATCAACCGCGAAACGCGAAACGTGCCGTCACAAGTTACGATATTTCCAATGATATCGAGAGCCTCGTAATTTGGCCGGGCCGTGAACCCGCGGAAAACGGGTTTTATCTTTGCCGGGGTGTTCTCGAATCCCTGATGCGGAGGAGAGGGAGATACATTCAAAGGACATAGACGCTCGATAACGTGGGCACGGTTTTTGAAAACCGTTTTTATTTCCCCTATATCTATCGGAATAGAAAGAATATTTTTAGCCGGCGAGTTGCGTGTATAACAGTCCGTATATATTTCGAAACTTCTCCCTACACTCTATAAAAATACTACTACTACTAAAAAAAAAAAAAAAAAAAAAAAGCGCGAGGGTGAAACAACAAAAGCTTCCAGTAACGCTACCAGTTTTCCCTGTCAAATCAACGCTCGCGCTCGCACGACCTTCACTAACGATAGCGCAATTGTTTCCAGGACCGGGGTAGGCGGAGCATGGAACGCAACGGAGGAAATCGTAACGCCGAACAACGATACAACTTACAACATCGAGAATTTGCAGCCGTTCACCGTCTACAGTTTTCGCGTGTCAGCGGTGAACGCCATGGGAAGGAGCAAGCCAAGCGAAGAGACCTTCCACTCCGTCACTCTTCGAGAACGTACGTTCTTCTTTAAATTCCTCCGATTTAAAATTAACCTTCCATCTTACGTGTATATTAATCATATACGATATTTCTTTCCCCTTCCTTCGTATAACCAATTTCTATAACTCGGGACCTCCTGAAACGTGGAAAGGCGCATTAGCGGATAACACCAGAGGGGGGGGAACGATAATAGACATAAAATCCAAGGGAAGGTGTCCAAACGGAACGAGTCCCTCCGGGGCAATGCTAAAGCTCGCGAGAGTAAACGGCCCGAATATAACGAAGGGTAGAGCCGTAAAAGGAGGAGGAAAACGAAGAGCGAGAAGATGAAGGGGAGCGAGAAGAATGGTTTGCACGGCCGGTTTTCCGCGGCCAGGCACCAAGCGTCACGAGATTGACGCAGCCAACTAAGGAGGCGCTAATTGCAGCACCGGAAGGAACACAGTGTACAATCGCGCTTAACTCGAGCAGTCCGTCCAGCTTTCCTCTCTCTCTCTCTCTCTCATCCCCCGTCCTCGTCGCACGAGCAACCTGGAAAATAGGTTGAGCGGACGCGCGCGCGAGCTCAGCCCTATAAATTCTGTCAACGCCGCCGGGATTGGTCGACGCCTTGTGTATGTGTACCCACGACAAACTTTGCATTCGCGAAACTATGACGAGGAAGATTACGACGAAGACGAAGACGATGCTAACAAACGGGCCGCCGATGGTTAACGCGCGCCAACAGCCACCAGCCCCCGATACCCATGAATTCCCATGCGTATCGCAATGGCAATTAGCGCGTTACACGGTCCCAGTTGATGGAATTAGCTGCGAGAGATTCCCCCCTCTCCCTCCGCTGTATATTTGATCTCGAAGCAACGGATTGTATTAGTTTGCTATACATGGAATTTCTTATCGCCTTCTTGTTGTTCGGGGACAATTAGTAGGAAATTGGAACAGAGAGAGGGGGGGAGGAAAAACGCTGCTTCTGCTCTTCTGTTGGCGAAACGTTGGAGGAGATGCGGTTTTAATATAGATAGAATTTCTTACGGTTTTGCCGTCCTTGTTTTTGCTCCTTGTCACTCGGACGGATACAATAATAGGGAGTAATGGTATGATCTTTTTTTCGTCTCCTCTGTCCGGGGGAAACTGGTTCGTTTTTCGGGCAGTTCGCAAACTCGCGTTGATCCGATTAATTATAGTGATTAATACGGGGGTGGAACTAACGTCGGTGAAATTACCACCTGTGGCTAAAATTACGGGCACAAACGTTAAAGAGTTTGCTCGGTGTGCATTTGCTTTTAGAAAATTGATACGGATTTACCGAATGAACACAGCTCGATCACATGATCGGCTAATATTTATACTGCTTTCGCCGGCAACGTTACAAACGTTCATCGCGTTCAATGCAAACGGATCTCTTTGTTTTTGAAAAACAAGATAAATACATATACGCGCGATCGCAAGTTTGCAAACTTGGTGGATTACCGCGAATATTATTTTCGTTTGATAAATTTATTGATACGAAAAATTAATTCAGTGTATCGTGGAAAGATTTATCAGAGGGGGTCAGAGGGGAGCGAAAAGAAAAATTCGCCCGATTTTCCTTCCTTCCTTCCTCCCCTCCCTTCTATATCGAAAATTACGAAATAATTAATATTGAACGAGATATCGATATATCGCGTTAATCATTAATATCCTATTTCATCGTTAACAAAACAAAACACACAGAATTAATTAAATCTGTAACCAACGATTTTATAGAAAATTTAACGCGTGAAATTTAAGTAACATATGTATTCCGTGCAAATATCGAGTTACAATGAGTCATCGATTGATATATTGTATTACTCGATTAATTCGTTTGCCTCGCTACGGAATAATCCCGATAGG